AAAGATTCAACTTAAAAAAAATTGGTTTTAAAATTCCCAAAATTTTTTCCCGTAAAATTAAAATCCTTACCTTCAATCTCAGACTCTTTGTTCTCTCCACCTCTGTCTCACGCCTTGTTCCCTCCACAGACATCTCCTGCGAGGCCGGCTACTACTACGACCTGGGCGACCTGTCCTGCCGACAATGCCGGAAGGGGACGTACTCGCTGGGCGGCGGCATCCTGCTGGAGTCCTTCCAGCAGGACAGGCTGCCCGACGGCTTCACCTCTCAGGTCGAGACCTTCCGCTCGTCCTTCACCACGCACCGGGGCAGCGGGCCCGACATCGACTGCAGCCAGTCCGTACCCTCTCATAGTTATCTTGGTTGGCGCGGGGGTGGCGAGTGGCGATGACCTTCTCTAAGCAACTTCTCTGCTCAGGTTCGGCTGGAAGGCCCGCGGCGGCTACCTAGCCTCGCTCGGGGGCCCATGCGCGGCCACGCTGACGTTCGACGTGCACCTCGTCAAGCCTGGCAACCTCACCTACACCTACCAGTACCCGGACAAGGACGTCATCTTCGACTTTGAGGTACGTCCCTGCCCCTCTCTGGCCTGGCCGTGGCCGCACCCAAGTTTTATGTTTGCTAACTTGACAATGTCCTCCCTTCAGGCGCAGAACGCCCAGTGCCAGAGCCTCCGGGACTCGAAGGAGTTCCGCTGGCCGCAGTACACGCGCGAGGCGGGCGAGTGGAAGAAGCAGTCGGTGCGCCTGCTCACGGGGCAGAACGTGCTGCAGTGGAAGACGCTCGGCATGGACCACGGCCAGAGCCGGCCCGTGCTCATCAAGAACATCGAGATCAGCGGCGTGTCGCTCACGTCGTCCTGCCTGCCGTGCCGGGCGGGCACGTACAGCGCGGGCGGCGCGCGCGTCTGCACCGAGTGCCCCGAGAACACCTTCTCCAACTCGGAGGCGTCCTCGTGCCAGCCGTGCAACCCCGTGACGGAGTACGCGCCCAAGGGGTCGCCGTCGTGCCGGCAGCGGCTGCCCTGCAGTCGCCAGGACTACTACGAGAAGCGGACGCCCTGTGACGCCGACAAGCAGGTACGAGCTTGGATTTTACTTTCCCGAAAAAGTCTTTTTAGGAAAGTTTACAGGAATATTTTTTTAAAGTGTTAATTTTATCCTGAAAAGTTTAATTTTTCTAAAAATTTGGGGGATATAATTCAGGGAAAAGATTTGCATTTTCAAAACCCTAGGCACAAGTTTCGTGGTGCACCTATGCTAACGTGCTTCTCTGTCGTGTCGCAGACGCAGCGCGTGTACGAGTGGATCGCGCCCAAGATCTGCCGCGACGACCTGCCCGGGTCGGAGCAGCTGCCGCCGCCGTCGCCGCGCCGCCAGTGCGCCCCCTGCAACCCGGGCATGGACTACGGCAACGGGTCCACGTGCGAGCCGTGCCCGCGGGCGACCTGGAGCGACGGCAACTCGGCGTGCGCGGCGTGCCCGCCAGGCTCCACGCCCAACTACGGCATGCAGGTGGCGCGCTGGGTGGAGCTGCCCGCCTTCATGAGCGCGGCGTGCCTGGAGCCCGACGGCTCGACGTGCCCCAGCGGCGCGGGCTGGCAGGTGGCCGGCAGCCACATACACACGACGCGCCACCACTCGCCCGGCGCCTACCTGCTGCTGTCCATCTCGGTGGGCGGCTTCCGCTCCAAGGGCGGCGTGACGGTCACGGGCCCCGCCGGCGACCACCGCCGCCTCGAGGTGGGCCGCGTCGAGTTCTCGTTCGAGCTGGACTGCGCGGCCGAGTGCGAGTTCGTGTTCCTGCAGACGAGCGAGACGAAGGGCATGACGCTGGTCGAGAGCTGGTCGCAGCGCCAGGCCCGCCAGACGTACAGCTACGCCGTCATGCAGAACGACTCGTACACGTTCAGCTGGGCCTTCCAGCGGCTCGGCCAGGGGCCGGCGGGGGCGGCCGACGCCGTGGCCGGTGCCCTGGGACTGGGCGGCGCGGACGACGATGGCGGGCGGCGCGGCTACGTCGACATGGCCAAGATCTTCTGGGTGAACGTGACCAACACCGAGGACGGCGGCGCGGCCTCGTGCCTGCCCTGTCACCGGGACCTGGACTCGGAGGGCTGCCTGCCGTGCCCGCCGGGCCAGTACATGGAGCCCAACGGGACGGGCTGCCAGTTCTGCCCGCCGGACACCACCGCCGTGGAGCCGCTCGTGGCGGCGCGCCTCGGCCAGGAGGCCTGCCAGCCCTGCGGCCCGGGGCTGCACGCCGTCAACGGCGGCAGCTGCGAGACCAAGTGCTACTTCGAGATCGGCGACAACACCTACGACCTGCGGTCGCTGGACACGTGAGTATGGGGTGGTCAAGGACTTCCCTTTGGTGGGGGACGGCACGCTCTGACTGCCTTCATGTTGGCAGGCCTGTGGCGGTGCACGGTAGCCGGCTGTTCACGGCCTCGGGGGCGCAGTACTACCACCTGTTCAACATCAGCCTGTGCGGCACCGGTGAGCCCGCCCAGTGCAGCAACACCATCACGGTGGGCGAGAGCGCGGCGGAGCGGGCCGCCGAGTCCAGCAGCGTGGCGGCCTTCATCTGCAGGACGACCGTCATCCCGGGCCAGGGCCCCGTCGGCATGGGCCAGGGCGAGACCCTCGGCGACGGCGACGTCGACGAGCAGACCTTCTCCACGCAGTCTGTCGCCCTGGGCGACGAGCTGCTCGCCGTCACTACCGACACCTCGTACATGCACATGAAGGTCATCGACGAGTTCGTCCAGGACGACTTCAAGGACATCCGCTTCTACTACGCAACGCCGCTGTGAGTTCTCAGCAATATGACAGTAACGTGCACATGGATCAGCTTTTGCTTTTAGCCGCGAGCTGCCCATGATGCCACTTGTCTCACCTCGCACCCCGTCTCTCCCCCCGAAGGCCGACGCGGTCCTGCCCCAAGGGCCGCACCGCCGTGCTCACGCTGCGCTGCGACCCCACCGAGAACGGCAACTCCACCATCACGCTGCCCGCCCAGTGGCCCGACGGCACCTCGGACGGCTGCAACTTCAACTTCATGTGGAAGAGCAGGTCGGCGTGCCCCTCGTGCGGCACCAACGACTACAAGTGAGTGTTCCTCTTGGCCGCGTCGTCCTCTATCGCGCCGCTCGGACTCACCGCGCGCTTGTGCCCCCCGCAGGACCGTGAAGGGCGAGTGCGTGAACCGCAAGCAGGCGGTGCACTACCTGCCTGCCAAGCACTGTCGCCCGTCCTCGCCGGAGGTCAGCACCGTCTTCGTGGCCTGCACCACGCAGATCCCCCTCGAGGTCCAGGTAGGCGAGGCCGAGCCAGAGTGCCTGGGGCAGTCTTTGTGAAGAGCACGGCGACATTGTGATTGAACCCCGGATGCTCTCGCTGCAGCTCGTCGTGGCCGTGTCGGTGGCGTTGGCGCTGCTGCTGTGCGGCTGCATGATGCACTTCTGGCGCAAGACGCAGAGCCTGGAGTACAAGTACATGAAGCTGGTGCAGTCCAACGGCGGCCGGGACGGCGACATGGACGGCGACGTGGAGGCCGAGTGCGAGCTGCCGCCGGCGGAGAGCTGCGCCCTGGGCGAGGAGGACGCCGAAGAGGAGGACGTGGCCTTCAGTGCGCCGAGCTCGCAGGGGCT